TATAAAATAAATTGATTGATTGATTGACCCAGAGCAAGAGAATCGATTTCGGGCTGCAGAAGTTATGCGCCCAGGCTGGTCAGCTCACAGCAGAGGTGCCGGCACGGCAGCAGGACTGTGGTTGCGGGTTGCCGGAGGCAGCCACTGCAAACATTATCGTTAGCTGCTACGGCAGTGCCGTCGGGGCTTGTTGCCACCCCCGCCTCACTGCTGCTGCCTGATTTGGACACTCGGCGAGCCTGCACACGGGACCAAGACACGTGCTGTCAAGCTCGGAAACCGGCCAGCCACATGCTGTTCATGGTAAAGGTCCAGCATGTAGTGTTGCGCCAGCACGATGTGTTGGCCTGGTTACCCCAGCGGCCGCCGTGCACGGGCCTGCGCGGCCGCTGAGCCTCACCTTAGCGAGCTCCGCTTCGAGGCGGGCCTCGCGGTTGCGCGCCTCCTCCAGCATTTTCTGCATCTTCATCAGCGCCTTCTCCTGCTCCGCTCCCATGATCCGGCCTGCCACGCACGGAGAGCATGTTAAACCGGCTGGCAACGACTCGCATTGAACAATCGTCCCCTTTACACACGGACGAGCCATCAGACTTTATAAGAATTGTCCTTGGCAATCGGACTTCCCTTTACATGTACATAGTCTCGGTCCTTAAGCGAGCGGACCGTAGCGAACACAGGCCAATAAATATGGAGGCACAAACTCGACGGCGGAAGAGCAGCCGTTTCATTTTCAAGGTCCAGGCCTACCTGTGTAGAGGCGTCGCTCCCCGTTCCATGTCTCAACTGTCGAGCCCCGTGCATCGCTCACAGCCTCGGGCTTGGCCGCCGGAGAGCCTGCACACAGAACATGCATCGTGACATGTCAGGCGGCCAGGTGGAGCGTTTGATGCAAAGACCGTGCTAGCCACGGGGACCATGGTTTTCGCCCGCAGGAAACCCAAGCACATCCAAGGGCCAAGGAGATTCTCAACAGCTTATTGTTGGATAATTGGTCACGAATGCAGCGTGGGCCAACGCCAGACAAGGCTTGAGAATTAGTAAGAAGCACATGCACCGCGCCAGCCGCAAGCCAGTCCCGCATTGGCACGCAGGCCCTTCCCCTCACCTGCTCCCTCCCCGTTAAGGCGCGGCAGGAGCGGGCTGCTGCCTCCCGACCTCATTGCCTTGTTCAGGCGGGCATCTTCGATCAGGTCCCCTGCTGATTCCGGGCCCGGCGTGGCACTCGCTGCTGGGCTGCTAGCCGGTTCGGTCTGCTGTGGGCCTGGCGTGGCGGGGGTGGAGGGCCGGCTCGCGTCCCGGCTCGGAGCTGGAGGGGTGCCTGGGGAGCGCAGCAAGGCTCCACTCTTGCTGCGCAGCTCATCCAGTTTAGCTCGCAGGGCTCGGTTGTCCTCGGAGAGCCTTTGCAGGTCATCTGGGGCGCTCGCCCGGGCCCCGCCTGAGCGCGCCCCGGGGCTCTCCTCTGCCATGCTGGCCTTGCCTGCCATGGCCCTGCCTCCGCCTGCCCCCTCGCTCTCCACGTCCTGGCTGCCATTCGCTGCCTTGGGGCCCTCTGGACCCTGGTCGGACCCGTCCTCACCGTCAGCCTGCCCTCGGACTTCTGCAGGTGGTGTGGCCCTACTCGCTGCCCACTCGCTAGGGGCGCTGTCGCCGTTTTCTCGGCGTGCTGCGGTCCCATGTTGGGCTAACGCTGCTGCAAGCGCGCCTCGAGCTTCCGCATTCTCCTGGCTGGCCCGCAGCTGCTCGTTCTCCAGGCGTAGCGCCTCCTTCTCTGATACGAGCGACTCCAGCTGCGACTTGAGAGCCTCGATCTCTGCAACCTAAACAACCGCAAAAGACCCCACCAAATGAGCCAAGCAAAGCAGCCGCCGATGACAACTATCACATTCAATCTGCTGGACCACATATTGCCTGGTCAGCTGGTTGTATCGCGCACTTACGCTACACAAGCAGCTATAATAGATTGATGGCAGGCCTGCAATAGACATAGCCAAACAAGATTCAACTGCGACTGAGGCAGGGAGGCTGAAGCTCCTGCGCCAGGATGAGCAGCCTGTCGTGCTACCTTGGACAGGACTTGCAGCCTCCACTCGTCCTCCTGCTCGCTGTGTGCCGCTCCTGCCTGCGTCTCCCTGCTCACAACCCCATCGAAGTCCAACGCCCTGCTTACGGTCGACGCGTCCGTTCCTGTTGCCACTGCAGCGACCTCCTGGGCAGGGGCCGAGGGGCTGGCGGGGCTAGCCTCCCCGGCGCGAGCGGCAAGCGCTGCCTTCACCTGGACGAGCTCCTCCTCCACCTTCTTCGCCTTCTGTGCCTTGGCTTTGAGCTGCTCTTGCAGGATCCGATTGTCCGCGGTCATCATCTCGACCGCAAACTCCTTTTCACCCAGCGCTGCCTTGAGCCGGTTGACAGAATCCACCAGTTGTGCGGGCGTCTTCTCTACGTCCGCCTCCATCTGCTGCTGGATGCGGCTTTCCAAAACGGCCACGTTCCTCCGCTTTTCCTTCACCTCGGCGCGCAACTTCTCCAGCTTCTCCTGCACAAAACATGATACGCTGTCCTTCAAAGAGCACCCTGCTGACACCCATTGGTAAATTATCAGGACCCTCCACAACTGCTCGTCTTCATAAAACGATGGTTTCAGAAACAAACCTGCAGACAAGAGTTGCTTTAACCATCGAGCTTGAGGGTACTGCTAATGTCCACACGAACCGCCCTCTTTAGACATTCAGCTCCACCCAGTGACGCGTTCCTGTGGTGGACAGCGGACCCAGATAAGTGCGCAAAAAGCTCTTACGGTAATCTGAGCTTCTTGAGCGGGGTGTCCCTCCGCTTGTTCCGAGAGTCGCCTGATGGTACTGTCCCGCAGCTTGATCTCGTCTGCGAGCAACCGGACTTGCTCCCGCAGCAGGTCCAGCTGGTCAACATACGTCTGGCCCGTCTGCACGCAGGCAGGCAAGGTGACGCGTGAGGAACCACGACACATCAAATACAAGCACGATCGTCCCAAAGGAAGGGAAGAAGCAGCGGAACAACCTTGGCCTTCCAATTCAACGTTTGCGATGAATTTACAGATCTTTCAGACCAATACGGGAGGTCAAAGCTGGTTTGATGCTCACATGTGCCTTCTCGAGGCCTCGCTTGGTAGCAGTGAAGAGATCCCCAGCTGTACTTTTCTCCTTCACCATCTCAACTGTCCTGCTGGGGACCAGGCTTGCCGTCCGATGAAGCGGATGCAGCGGCGATGTTCCCCCAGATGCGGCTGGCGGCGTGCTTGGGACGGGCTTGCTGCCCTCCTTCTTCCCGAGAGAGGGGCTCTCTTTGTCCTGCAGCAAATGTTGAATCAGAGAGCTCGAAAGTACTCAAAACTGCTCATCCCGAACGTAACACCAGAATAATGCTCGCTGTCACCGTTGGCACACAACACGATCCATTCCCGTCCACTGCTTGCAAGAGCCGAAGCCAGGCCATACCTTGTCTTTCGACTTGAACAGGCCCAAGAAGCCTCTTTTCTTCTTCTTCTTCTCGTCAGTGTTGACAGGCTCGTCCACCACTGACAGTGCAGGCGAGTCCAGCTCCCCACTGTCGGAGGCAGTCTCGCTGGTCTTTCGAGACATGGTGGCAGGGAGCAACGGCTCTCGAGCACGAGAACTCAAGAAGGACAACTGGACAGCAAAGAAGAAGACGGATTGTCAAGCCAACAACAGAGTCGAAGAGCCCGGGCGTTTGAGTTGGCTACCCATGATTGGCTGCAATAGATGCGACAGCAAGGCGCGTGAATGAATGTCGCAATCTCCAGCAGGACATAACCGATATCAGATATCACAGGTATTCGAGGAATATGAGAAGAACGTCACAGTCCGGGGATCAGAACGGAGCACGTAGACGAGTTGCAATCGTCCTGGGCGCACAAGGATGTTGATCACACAGAATGGAGCCAATAGACGGGGGCTTGTGTTCACCTCATCCTCCCCAAATGATTTGTTCCTCCGGAACCTGGTGGTACTCAGCTCCTGCAGACGAGGACAGGCATAGCTGGTCAGGTCGGGACCATGGGAGACGCCCAGCTTTGGAGGGGCGACGGGCAGCAGAGTAACATTATGCCTGGGTCACTTGTGGGAAGCCTCAATAATCGCATTGTAGTAGATCATCGGACAAAAGTTGTGCTCGAAAGAGGGTGCATGTTCTGCTGGCCCAATCAAACAAGTGTCACAGCCGGTTGATTCCCAGACCAGCTGCCCATCACAACATTTAAGAGACTCTCACCTTGGGCGAAGGCTCGTCCCTGAAGTCTTGAGTCGACACCAAGATGAGTCTCGTCAAACGGTTGATGCGTTCCACAAGCGCGGCTTTGTTGGCTTCCTCTTCCTCCAAGCGAGCTTGCATGGCATTCTGCTCTTCTTCAATCTGAATGGAAGACAAGGCGGCCTTGTATTGTCAGAAACAATCCGGTTGATTGGACGCTCTTCCAAGCCTGATAGAGAGGTAAGCAGTCTGTCGCGGCACGCCAAATATTCCGTCCTTGGTGTCGACAGGACTCCAGAAGCGGATCAGATGCGCATGCACAATTACCTGTTGGCGAAGTGCAGTCAGATCTTCCTCGCTTGCAGAAGGAGACGCCCTGAGGTCAGGTAGTGAGCGCTGATCAGAAGCCATACTGGCCCGCAGGCTCTCCAGTTCCTGCCGCAATTCGTTGATCTCCCGCTGGTACTTCTTGATCAGAGACCGCTCGTCCATGATCTGCAGCAGCTCACTCAGTTCGCTCAGTGCAAGAATTATGAGGAAGATCCGTCGAAATTCATTAACCAGAAGCAATGAGGCGTCAGAAACCGCCAGCTGACCACGAGACACAGGACAACGATACAGAGCGATCCAACGACCCAAAACCCTTGAAGCGTTTGGAACACCGGATGGCATACCTTGTGCTTTTCCAAAGCGATTTCCACATGCTTGGCCCTCCTCGCGAATTTGACTGTGTTGTGGGTCTCTTCCAGTGCTCCCGAGGCTGGAGTGATGGTACAGATCAACTGCAGGAGTTGGGGGGTCGTCAGCTAGCGTGCAGTGGAGGCACGCACAAGGACTGGGCTCTACAATAAGGTGGGGGCCGCGCTTTACATGGTTGGCATCCTGCACAACGCAGATCCTTGCATCTTGTTACAAGGACCCAAACGAAGTACAGCAAATAATCCAATCATCAGAGCCGGAGACTTTTGCAGATTCCGGTCAAGTACTTACAGAGATCCTCCCATGACCGCTGAGCGATGACTGGAGAAGGCGGGTGAGTTTCGAATCCCGGTATGGGATGTGCTGCGGCTTTCCCTCGCTCAATTTGGCAATGACTGTGCCCAGTGTGAGCAGGCTCCGATTGATGTAGGACCCCTCTTTGCGGCGAAGGCCTGTGGTCTCGGCCTTTGAACTCTCCGACCCAGCAAGGTCGATCAGATTCTGAAGGACAAGATGTTGACCAATTAGCTGTGAATCCAAGCAGCATCAAGGTCCGTCAATTGGCATGGGCTCCATGCTCAGGAGTTGGATACACATCACCGATTTAGCAATACACATTACAATGAAAGAGGAGACCCTCATCTTGCTGCTCTGCTAAAACTTTTGCGCCCTTGCAGTGTAAGAGCGAGGAAAAGATGGCCTTCTTACCGGGACCTTACGAGGCCGAACCACAATCTGTTTTAGGGCTCTTGAGAACATGGGTGGTCTCTAACAAGCTGCAACAGGTGTTTTGCTTACCAACTGGGACAGGACAACCTGCTCCCTTGTGGCTGCCGCTCCTCGAGGACTCTGTTCGATTGTCTGGAAAGAGATTTGGGATAGTCAGAACATCAAACTGACATTGGAAAGATAGCGTGCGCACATGCATAACCAGATTCTGAGCGAAAGAATGTTGAATAACCTGAAAAGCAGAAGCTAGACTAGACAAGAGCTTGAAGACACAAAGAGGAGAGACTTACCAGACAAAAGATTGTATGACTCCGACTGCTGACCAGGTTGTAGTTGGTTGATCCAACGTGGCGGTTTGCTGGCAAAAGCAAATGAAATTGGACGTCAACTTCACTTTCTGGACATCCCAGGCCCTTGCTCTAAGCAGTCAACTTCAACCACCACCCACAGGTCCACAGTGCTTGCAAGGGGGGAACTCCTCAGAGTTCTCCTTTGATCTAACAAACGACTTGTCATGTACTCAATTCCACATACAAAGGACACTAGAGGCATCACAGCTAGATGGCAAAACTGGTAGCACAACCATACCTTCCCCAATCTGGATGAACGACAGTGCATGGGCGGGTGAGATGACAACCTCATGTTTGACACCTTCCACATATGTTCCTTGCGGATCTTCCCTGATCTTTAGATTCTGCCGAGCAGGGTCTAAAAGATCGTTGATGACCTGCGCCAAGGACGACTTGGTGTCAGCATCTACTTCTTCAGAACTGATTACCTACACTGGTGCACAGCATCCTGACTCCCATCTATTGCCCAGGGTCTGGACGCCCACAGATGCTAGATTACTGATGGACACGCTCATAGAAGCTAGATTACTGATGGACACATTCTTAGAAATTGAACGGAAATAATAAAAGATCAATCTTTCTTACCTCGTTATAAATCTCCAGATATGAAACCCGCAGGAGAAACTCTCGGTCAGGAGCCTGGCAGGAACAGAGTCTATGATTAAAGATGAGTAGCAGCGCATGCACCGAGCATCTTTCAGCATATCCTCCAGTCCTAATCTTAGTGATGAGCGTCTTGGTCTTATGCTACTTTCAAAACGCATTTCAGTTCAGTTTGCATGACAGCAAACTTACATCTTGGATCAAGGAGAAGACGTCTTTGACGGCCAGTGGAATCACACCCGGTGACTTCTTGTCGCCCTGCAGTCCACAAAAGGTTTGTCAGTCAATGCGTTCAGCGAGTCTCATCTGTATCATTGACCCGAAACACATGCACAAGGGGGGAAACAAGAGTGTTTTCCAAACAACAAATGTTTCGTTTACAGAGCATTCCAAGTGTCGCAGTAGGCTTTGTGACGAAGTACTCACGTGCATCGTGTGTGTCTTGCCGCTGCTGGTCACTCCATATGCAAATACAGTCCCTGTCGTGGAAGACGACAATTCTTGATGAGACGACACTCCGGAGACAAAGCAGATAGGCAGCTACCAGAGACACAAACGCAGATTGCTTGGTGATTGGATTCTCCTGGGCATTTGAGAAAGTCCCACAACAATTTGAGAATCCGCCGTGCACCATAACTACGTCAACTCTTTGGAAGTAGGTAGCCTCACCATTTACTCCATTCATGGCTCCTTGTACCACATGCTGTGCTGCCACATCATAGACCACACGCGTGGTTGACGCAGGGCCAAACACCTTGTCTGCGGGTCAGAAAACTTTCAATACACTTACTTGACATCTTTGGCGAGCATTGCCTGCTTCTGTTTCATGAACGGAGTCTGGAACATTGCCAAGAACGTTGAGAAGGCAGAGGACTATTTGACTTGGCGGCCTATACTGCAGATCTCCTTCCAACTTACCAAATGCATAGCAGATGTTTGGATTGGTCTCCAGGCGCACAAAGTGATCGCCATCAGCATACCAGGCAACATCCTCACCCCGCCTGGCTTCACGAACGCTGCAGGCAGTTTGCAACCAACTTGAGACAATTGATGAACACTTCCTGGCTGCAATCCCTTGAGCAAAGAGCAATGCTGCAAAACCACATGACTCAGGAAGCTACCTGTACATTTGAAGACATTCTCCACCCATCAGCTTCCAGGCTCCTGCAACCTCTACCTGCGGGGTATGTTCAGTGTACTGTGACCTCTTCTCTGTTAGTGTCTATGTACACGTTGTGAACTATGTGGCCTTCCTCTCTGCGACAGGCCACCACTCACCTCAGAGGCCTGAATCGGACAGTCACCGTCACATTTTCGCTCAACCCTGCTTTCTTTACCCCTGCAGGAGGGCTCATTCCTGGTGGCAGGAGTGCTGGATGCCTGCCTGAGGTTGGCGAATGCTGACTGCCAGGTACGTTTTGCGAGTTCAGAAAATTTCTAGCTGCTGCCGAGTCCAAGGACTGCCTGCCCTGCTTTGTAATGCCAAACGCCGCTGGCTTGCCTCCAGCAGGAAGAGACTGTCGCCTGCCAGCCATGCTGCCAGCGTTGTCCATGCTACCCGATCTTTGCTTCCTTCTTGGAATCAATTGCTTGGCAGGTCAGCTGCGTCCTCCATTGCAGCGCAGCCCTCACTACCTAGCTGACTTCTGACTCTGCCTCCAAATCCTGTGACTCTAGGTACTCTGTGACACCTAGGTCCTTGCTCAGTGCAAAGCCCAGTGCATTCGGATCCGGGATACCAGTAGCTGCAGGCGGGCTGCAGCAGGCAGCCACTCACTAGGTAGTGCCAGTTATTACTGTATACTTTAATAGTGGTGCGAAAGGGACAGAGAAGCCGAACTGGTCTCCAGAAAAAAAATTGCGGACGCAGGTTTTGTCAAAATTCGGACCTGGATTCTGGAACCCCCGACACTGACAGGCAGCCGGGCACTCCATGTGACATTTACCTAATAGGGTTATGTTGCAAGCCTGTGACGGTTTGTTAGGGTCGCGCCAAATTAATACCGTACTGTGAATGCACTTACCTAGTCTTATTATTTATACGATCAGGGTTAACCCTTTAACAGCGGGGAATTTCCCGTCAAAACCGCCGTACTCGAATTTTATCGATAATCGCAAAAATCGATCGGACCGTACGATCGGCCGGCGTCGTGCGATCAATCAATCAATCAATTTATTTTATAGTCCCGTAGGAGCCATGGGTGGCTCATGAGACAAGGTCTGAATGTAGTCTCGAGTCCTAAACGCCTCTCTAACAAAGCTAGCAACCCTCTGTTAGTTCTCCTGACCTATAAAATGACGCAGACTAAATGCGGACTGGCCAACAAACAAATCCATGTACCGCTCTGTGCGTAGGAACCTATAAGCCGGGCACTCGAAAACGAAATGGTCCTCGTCCTCTATTCTATTCAAATGACACAATGAACATAGT